GTGTGTGTGTGTCTACAGTGTGTGTCTACAGTGTGTGTGTGTCTACAGTGTGTGTCTACAGTGTGTGTGTGTCTACAGTGTGTGTCTACAGTGTGTGTGTGTCTACAGTGTGTGTGTGTCTACAGTGTGTGTGTGTCTACAGTGTGTGTCTACAGTGTGTGTGTGTCTACAGTGTGTGTCTACAGTGTGTGCGTGTCTACAGTGTGTGTCTACATTGTGTGTCTACAGTGTGTGTGTGTCTACAGTGTGTGTCTACAGTGTGTGTGTGTCTACAGTGTGTGTCTACAGTGTGTGTCTACAGTGTGTGTCTACCGTGTGTGGGGGTGTCTACAGTGTGTGTGTGTGTCTACAGTATGTGTCTACAGTGTGTGTCTACAGTGTGTGTCTACAGTATGTGTCTACAGTGTGTGTCTACAGTGTGTGTCTACAGTGTGTGTGTGTGTCTACAGTGTGTGTCTACAGTGTGTGTGTGTGTCTACAGTGTGTGTCTACAGTGTGTGTCTACAGTGTGTGTCTACAGTGTGTGTGTGTGTCTACAGTATGTGTCTACAGTGTGTGTCTACAGTGTGTGTCTGCCGTAGGTTTGGGCCCCCGTTCGTGATGAGGGAGGACCGGGGGGTGTCCTGGGAGCAGCTGCAGCAGAGCGTCCTCAGTAAACTCTACTACCTCATGGTGAACGGAGCACAGCCGCAGGTACGTCTGTGTCAAACAGAAGCACATGGGGTCCAGTCCCTGAAGCTGCTACATGTACCGACTAAACATACAGCTATTTATTTCTGCACTAGAATAAACATTATTATAAACATTATTATGTAACTACACGCTCCTCACAGCCGCAGAACGCTTCATTGAGTTGAGACTAATTTCAAAACGTTCTACCGGTCGTTATTTCTTGTTATTATATGACTTGGATTGTGCGCTCTGATTGGCTGAAATGCGGTCTGATATTTTCCCATCTCGGACCGTTACCATGACGATTGGTCCGCAGAGTGTATCAGATTTGATATCTTTCCTCGGTAAAACAGAATTAATGAGTGACTGGGAGCGTTCTCAGTGAATTCTATCATCAGGACAAGTTGGAAGAGCCAGAGGAAGTAATAACAGCAAATAACGACCAAAACACAACTCCAACAGTCAAGAAGAGATCGACAACTTGGTTACAGACCAGAAAGGTAAAACCAGGACCAGGAAAACCAAGTGGGACATGAACATGACAGATATGTAAAAAGCATTGGTAAAGACACAGACTGAGAACTGACAGCGGGCGCCTCAATCCTCTGTTCTTCATGTCACAGTTTGACACTTTGGTCAAATGTGTTTTTAGTTCAAACCGATCGATATTTGCACAAATTAAAAATAGTCATATAATAAAACATTTATTAACCTCGCCACGGCTCGGTCTGTACAAAAAGGCCGCGGTCTGATATTTCTCTGGACAGACCTCGCGCTCGTTTAATAAGCCGTTAATATTATGCAACTCCATCCATCCATCCATTTTCTTCCGCTTCATCCGTTGCCGGGTCGCGGGGGCAGCAGTCTAAGGAGAGACGCCCAGACTTCCCTATCCACACACACTTCCTCCAGCTCGTCCGGGGGACCCCAAGGCGTTCCCAGGCCAGCTGAGAGACATAGTCTCTCCAGCGTGTCCTGGGTCTTCCCCTGGGCCTCCTCCCGGTGGGACGTGCCCGGAACACCTCCCCAGGGAGGCGTCCAGGAGGCATCCGGAACAGATGCCCGAGCCACCTCAACTGGTTCCTCTCGACGTGGAGAAGCAGCGGCTCTACTCCGAGCTCCTCCCGTGTGACTGAGCTCCTCACCCTATCTCTAAGGGAGCGCCCAGCCACTCTGCGGAGGAAGCTCATTTCGAACGCTTGTATATTGAACTCTCAAACCAATAATGGCCAGAGAGTTCTAGTTTGGAAGAAGCTGTGACTCGCCCAGCCACGCTAGTGTGGGAACTATTTTATTTGCAGTCATTAAATAAACCTTTCCATATTCATAAAAGTTTATTTTCTGTGTTCACTGATCACTTCTACAGTTCTGTGACGGTGATGCAACGCTGACATTCACTGGGGACGAATACATGATCTCTTCATATTCATCAGAAACTTCAGAAATTAAAACATGCCAAAAACATTAGAATGAAAACAAAACAGACAAACAATAGAATAAACATTTCTCACTGGTTACAAAAACATAATATCTATGACCTGATTATTTGATAATAACCACACATTTGGGATGATTTTGTGCCATGATTCTGATGACTAAAAATCCGTTTGGCTCGGTCTGGAACAGTCTGGAACAGTCTGAGACCCATCTGGACCAAGCCTCCTTCTAACAATGGCTCCACACTGCTGCCAACAACCCTCCGACACATCTCCACTCGGGAGGATCTCACTTCAGTCTAATTTTAGTCTCAGAAAAGCCATGGTCTGACAGCTCCGTCTCTGACACCAGCTGACGTCTTCATCTGAGCTTCATCTGAGCTTCATCTGAGCTTCATCTGAGCTTCATCTTAGCTTCATCTGAGCTTCATCTGAGCTTCATCTGAGCTTCATCTTAGCTTCATCTGAGCTTCATCTTAGCTTCATCTGAGCTCCATCTGAGCTTCATCTGAGCTTCATCAGCGCTTCATCTTAGCTTCATCTGAGCTTCATCTTAGCTTCATCTGAGCTCCATCTGAGCTTCATCTGAGCTTCATCAGCGCTTCATTTGAGCTTCATCTGAGCTTCATCTGAGCTTCCTCTGAGCTTCATCTTAGCTTCATCTGAGCTTCATCTGAGCTTCATCTGAGCTTCATCTGAGCTTCATCTGAGCTTCATCTGAGCTTCATCTGAGCTTCATCTGAGCTTCATCTGAGCTTCATCTTAGCTTCATCTGAGCTCCATCTGAGCTTCATCTGAGCTTCATCAGCGCTTCATTTGAGCTTCATCTGAGCTTCATCTGAGTTTCATCTGAGCTTCATCCGAGCTTCATCTTAGCCGCATCCGAGCTTCATCCGAGCTTCATCTGAGCTTCACCTTAGCTTCATCTTAGCTTCATCTCAGCTTCATCTCAGCTTCATCTTAGCTTCATCCGAGCTTCATCTGAGCTTCATCTGAGCTTCATCCGAGCTTCATCCGAGCTTCATCTTAGCCGCATCCGAGCTTCATCCGAGCTTCATCTGAGCTTCATCTTAGCTTCATCTGAGCTTCATCTGAGCTTCATCTTAGCTTCATCTGAGCTTCATCTGAGTTTATCTGAGCTTCATCTTAGCTTCATCTCAGCTTCATCTCAGCTTCATCTTAGCTTCATCTGAGCTTCATCTGAGCTTTATCTGAGCTTTATCTGAGCTTCATCTGAGCTTCATCTGAGCTTCCTCTGAGCTTCATCTTAGCTTCATCTGAGCTTCATCTGAGCTTCATCTGAGCTTCCTCTGAGCTTCATCTGAGCTTCCTCTGAGCTTCATCTTAGCCTCATCTGAGCTTCATCTGAGCTTCATCTGAGCTTCATCTTAGCTTCATCTGAGCTTCATCTGAGCTTCATCTGAGCTTCATCTTAGCTTCATCTTAGCTTCATCTGAGCTTCATCTGAGCTTCATCTGAGCTTCATCTGAGCCTCATCCGAGCTTCATCCGAGCTTCATCTTAGCTTCATCTGAGCTTCATCCGAGCTTCATCCGAGCTTCATCCGAGCTTCATCCGAGCTTCATCCGAGCTTCCTCCGAGCTTCATCCGAGCTTCATCTTAGCTTTATCTGAACTTCATCTTAGCTTCATCTGACCTTCATCTGAGCTTCATCTTAGCTTTATCCGAGCTTCATCCGAGCTTCATCTGAGCTTCATCTTAGCTTCATCTTAGCTTCATCTGAGCTTCATCTTAGCTTCATCTGAGCTTCATCTGAACTTCATCTGAGCTTGATCTGAGCGTCATCTGAGCTTCATCTGAGCTTCATTTTAGCTTCATCTGAGCTTCATCTGAGCTTCATCCGAGCTTCATCTGAGCTTCATCTGAGCTTCATCTGAGCTTCATTTTAGCTTCATCTGAGCTTCATCCGAGCTTCATCTGATTCTGTCTGCATCAAAGAGAGCGGACACAGAGGACTTTAGAGACTTTAGAGACTGGAGGTGGAATCGCACCCACGACCTGCTCTCTGAACTCTGCCATCAAAGAAACATGAACTAAGAATGTGGAAACACTGAAACATTGGTGGGATCAGGTCTCACTTATTTGATATTGGTTCAGCCAAAGTCCTGATCAGGTCTTTCCAAAGGTTCTTTTCTATTTCAGTCGGAGGGAAGTCCTGATCCTGCTCTGGGAAAGAAGACGTTTCTGACAAATATGTTGTTGTTGTTGGATAAAGATTAGATTCAGAAAAAAACGCTGTTGTTTAAAAGTCCTTTCCACTCTCCAACATCATGAGAGACCAGAGAGAGACCAGAGAGAGAGACCAGAGAGAGAGACCAGAGAGAGAGACCAGAGAGAGACCAGAGAGAGAGACCAGAGAGAGAGACCAGAGAGAGAGACCAGAGAGAGACCAGAGAGCGACCAGAGAGAGACCAGAGAGAGACCAGAGAGAGACCAGAGAGAGACCAGAGAGAGAGACCAGAGAGAGAGACCAGAGAGAGACCAGAGAGAGAGACCAGAGAGAGACCAGAGAGAGAGACCAGAGAGCGACCAGAGAGAGACCAGAGAGAGAGACCAGAGAGAGACCAGAGACAGACCAGAGAGAGAGACCAGAGAGAGAGACCAGAGAGAGACCAGAGAGAGACCAGAGAGAGACCAGAGAGAGAGACCAGAGAGAGAGACCAGAGAGAGACCAGAGAGAGACCAGAGAGAGAGACCAGAGAGAGACCAGAGAGAGACCAGAGAGGGAGACCAGAGAGAGACCAGAGACAGACCAGAGAGAGAGACCAGAGAGAGAGACCAGAGAGAGACCAGAGAGAGAGACCAGAGAGAGACCATGTAGATGATGAGAGAGACCAGGGAAAGAAAGAGCGACCCTCTCTCTGATGTTAGTAGAAAGGACTCTCAGAAAGAAGAATAGTATAGCAGTTTTGTGAATAAAATCAGCATCCAATAATGATCAAATTATTTTATTTTGACACATTTCCTTCCACAGTCGTCAGAGATACTGGAGACAGAAATACAAATCTCGTCTGAATGTGACTTCATGACTCTTCCTCAGACAGAAATACTAACACACATATTGGACACGCTGCCGAATCCTAAAGCTGAGGATTAGTGAATATCAAAAGATTCTTTTCTCTCCTGCAGTCAGACCCCAGTGAGACCCCAGTGAGACCCCAGGGGCCGGTGCCCTGGGACCTGCGGGGCCGGTCCACACTCGTCTCTCATTCTCACCCTTCTCACATCACTGCATGTGACAGTCTGATCCTTATCCAGTCAAATATAGGCTCAAATATCGGAGGACGTGTGTTTAAGAATACGTAGGATCTGGTCATTTCCTGCAACAATATCACCAGTTATTATGGTTCACTTCAGCATCGATGGTAATATGGACCATGGCATAGTTTTCAATTCATTAGTGTACCTTGTGTGAGGTCCGGGAGTGAGGTCAAGGTGTGAGGTCCTGGAGTGAGGTCCTGGAGTGGGGTCCTGGAGTGAGGTCCTGGAGTGAGGTCCTGGAGTGAGGTCCTGGAGCGAGGTCCTGGAGTGAGGTCCTGGAGTGAGGTCAAGGTGTGAGGTCCTGGAGTGAGGTCAAGGAGTGAGGTCAAGGTGTGAGGTCCTGGAGTGAGGTCCTGGAGTGAGGTCCTGGAGCGAGGTCCTGGAGTGAGGTCCTGGAGTGAGGTCCTGGAGTGAGGTCCTGGAGCGAGGTCCTGGAGTGAGGTCCTGGAGTGAGGTCCTGGAGCGAGGTCCTGGAGTGAGGTCCTGAAGTGAGGTCCTGGAGTGAGGTCCTGGAGTGAGGTCCTGGAGTGAGGTCCTGGAGTGAGGTCAAGGTGTGAGGTCCTGGAGTGAGGTCCTAGAGTGGGGTCCTTGGGTGAGGTCCTGGAGTGAGGTCCTGGAGTGAGGTCCTGGAGCGAGGTCCTGGAGTGAGGTCCTGGAGTGAGGTCCTGGAGTGAGGTCCTGGAGCGAGGTCCTGGAGTGAGGTCCTGGAGTGAGGTCCTGGAGCGAGGTCCTGGAGTGAGGTCCTGGAGTGAGGTCCTGGAGTGAGGTCCTGGAGCGAGGTCCTGGAGTGAGGTCAAGGTGTGAAGTCCTGGAGTGAGGTCCTGGAGTGAGGTCCTGGAGTGAGGTCAAGGTGTGAGGTCCTGGAGTGAGGTCCTGGAGTGAGGTCAAGGTGTGAGGTCCTGGAGTGAGGTCCTGGAGTGAGGTCCTGGAGTGAGGTCAAGGTGTGAGGTCCTGGAGACAGGTCAAGGTGTGAGGTCCTGAAGTGAGGTCCTGGAGTGAGGTCTTGGAGTGAGGTCAAGGTGTGAGGTCCTGGAGACAGGTCAAGGTGTGAGGTCCTGGAGACAGGTCCTGGAGTGAGGTCCTGGAGTGAGGTCCTGGAGTGAGGTCCTGGAGCGAGGTCCTGGAGTGAGGTCCTGGAGCGAGGTCCTGGAGTGAGGTCCTGGAGTGAGGTCCTGAAGTGAGGTCCTGGAGTGAGGTCTTGGAGTGAGGTCAAGGTGTGAGGTCCTGGAGACAGGTCAAGGTGTGAGGTCCTGGAGACAGGTCCTGGAGTGAGGTCCTGGAGTGAGGTCCTGGAGTGAGGTCCTGGAGCGAGGTCCTGGAGTGAGGTCCTGGAGTGAGGTCCTGGAGCGAGGTCCTGGAGTGAGGTCCTGGAGCGAGGTCCTGGAGTGAGGTCCTGGAGTGAGGTCATGGTGTGAGGTCCTGGAGTGAGGTCAAGGAGTGAGGTCAAGGTCTGAGGTCCTGGAGTGAGGTCCTGGAGTGAGGTCCTAGAGTGGGGTCCTGGGGTGAGGTCCTGGAGTGAGGTCCTGGAGTGAGGTCCCTGGAGCGAGGTCCTGGAGTGAGGTCCTGGAGTGAGGTCCTGGAGCGAGGTCCTGGAGCGAGGTCCTGGAGTGAGGTCCTGGAGTGAGGTCCTGGAGTGAGGTCCTGGAGCGAGGTCCTGGAGTGAGGTCCTGAAGTGAGGTCCTGGAGTGAGGTCCTGGAGTGAGGTCCTGGAGTGAGGTCCTGGAGTGAGGTCAAGGTGTGAGGTCCTGGAGTGAGGTCCTAGAGTGGGGTCCTGGGGTGAGGTCCTGGAGTGAGGTCCTGGAGTGAGGTCCTGGAGCGAGGTCCTGGAGTGAGGTCCTGGAGTGAGGTCCTGGAGCAAGGTCCTGGAGTGAGGTCCTGGAGTGAGGTCCTGGAGTGAGGTCCTGGAGTGAGGTCCTGGAGTGAGGTCCTGGAGCGAGGTCCTGGAGTGAGGTCCTGGAGTGAGGTCCTGGAGCGAGGTCCTGGAGTGAGGTCAAGGTGTGAGGTCCTGGAGTGAGGTCCTGGAGTGAGGTCCTGGAGTGAGGTCAAGGTGTGAGGTCCTGGAGTGAGGTCCTGGAGTGAGGTCAAGGTGTGAGGTCCTGGAGTGAGGTCCTGGAGTGAGGTCCTGGAGTGAGGTCCTGGAGTGAGGTCAAGGTGTGAGGTCCTGGAGACAGGTCAAGGTGTGAGGTCCTGAAGTGAGGTCCTGGAGTGAGGTCTTGGAGTGAGGTCAAGGTGTGAGGTCCTGGAGACAGGTCAAGGTGTGAGGTCCTGGAGACAGGTCCTGGAGTGAGGTCCTGGAGTGAGGTCCTGGAGTGAGGTCCTGGAGTGAGGTCCTGGAGTGAGGTCCTGGAGCGAGGTCCTGGAGTGAGGTCCTGGAGTGAGGTCCTGGAGTGAGGTCCTGGAGTGAGGTCCTGGAGTGAGGTCCTGGAGCGAGGTCCTGGAGTGAGGTCCTGGAGTGAGGTCCTGGAGTGAGGTCCTGGAGCGAGGTCCTGGAGTGAGGTCCTGGAGTGAGGTCCTGGAGTGAGGTCCTGGAGCGAGGTCCTGGAGTGAGGTCCTCGAGTGAGGTCCTGGAGTGAGGTCCTGGAGTGAGGTCCTGGAGTGAGGTCCTGGAGCGAGGTCCTGGAGTGAGGTCCTGGAGTGAGGTCCTGGAGTGAGGTCCTGGAGCGAGGTCCTGGAGTGAGGTCCTGGAGTGAGGTCCTGGAGCGAGGTCCTGGAGTGAGGTCCTGGAGTGAGGTCCTGGAGCGAGGTCCTGGAGCGAGGTCCTGGAGTGAGGTCCTGGAGTGAGGTCCTGGAGTGAGGTCCTGGAGCGAGGTCCTGGAGTGAGGTCCTGAAGTGAGGTCCTGGAGTGAGGTCCTGGAGTGAGGTCCTGGAGTGAGGTCCTGGAGTGAGGTCAAGGTGTGAGGTCCTGGAGTGAGGTCCTAGAGTGGGGTCCTGGGGTGAGGTCCTGGAGTGAGGTCCTGGGGTGAGGTCCTGGAGTGAGGTCCTGGAGTGAGGTCCTGGAGCGAGGTCCTGGAGTGAGGTCCTGGAGTGAGGTCCTGGAGCAAGGTCCTGGAGTGAGGTCCTGGAGTGAGGTCCTGGAGTGAGGTCCTGGAGTGAGGTCCTGGAGTGAGGTCCTGGAGTGAGGTCCTGGAGCGAGGTCCTGGAGTGAGGTCCTGAAGTGAGGTCCTGGAGTGAGGTTCTGGAGCGAGGTCCTGGAGTGAGGTCAAGGTGTGAGGTCCTGGAGTGAGGTCCTGGAGTGAGGTCAAGGTGTGAGGTCCTGGAGTGAGGTCCTGGAGTGAGGTCCTGGAGTGAGGTCAAGGTGTGAGGTCCTGGAGTGAGGTCCTGGAGTGAGGTCCTGGAGTGAGGTCCTGGAGTGAGGTCAAGGTGTGAGGTCCTGGAGACAGGTCAAGGTGTGAGGTCCTGAAGTGAGGTCCTGGAGTGAGGTCTTGGAGTGAGGTCAAGGTGTGAGGTCCTGGAGACAGGTCAAGGTGTGAGGTCCTGGAGACAGGTCCTGGAGTGAGGTCCTGGAGTGAGGTCCTGGAGTGAGGTCCTGGAGTGAGGTCCTGGAGTGAGGTCCTGGAGTGAGGTCCTGGAGTGAGGTCCTGGAGTGAGGTTTTGTTTGTCTTTCTGCTCAGAACGGCCGAGTGCTCTTCAACATCCGTGTGGAGGGAGGGTCTGCCTTCTACAGCTACCTGTCGCCTCAGGACGGACGACCACTCTGCCACCCGGCTGTGGAGAGGTGAGTCCTGTGTGGAGTTTGCATGTTCTCCCCGTGTCTGCATAGGTTTCCTCCAGGTGCTCCGGTTTCCCCCACCACTAAAACATGTACGATACGTCTGGCATGCACCTCCAGTAAGACGAACCCAGTCTTCTATTTCTGTGTGGAGTGAGGGACAAATGCCACTCTGGTTTGTGAAATGTGCTATATAATTAAAGGTGACTTACTCATTTAAAAGAAAGAGGCTGAAGTTCTAGTTTTGTGACTAAATGAAAGGAAAGCACCGCAGTCACCACAGAGTCGAGCCTCTCCTCAACAGCTGCTACTTAACTTTCATAGTTTACAGAAGTCCATCCTCTGCTCGGTCTGCTCCTGGGCCCTGTGCTGAAAGGTCAAAGTGCACTGCACATATCCCTGTGGGTCATTCATGATCTGCATTTGACCCAGACCCTGATGCCACTAGGTCCATCAGGAGCAGTGGGTGCCGCAGTACAGCCCGAGGAGACCCATATCCAGATGCTGATGTTCTTTCCTACATGTACGTCTGGTTGTAGGTAGTTGTATCTCCTCTGACCAATCAGAGAGCGGGGGAGGCGGGTGTTGTAGGTGAATGTTGGTGATGTTAAGAGTTTGCGCCAAATTTTCTGGTTGTATTTTGGCGGAGAATGCGGTAGTAAAGTATTCCATTCTGGTTCTATCAGTGCATTTAAGCTAGAACAAGAGGAATGTTTAGCAAATGTTAAATATTGCTGCAAAGATTGTGGCGCTGCTCCCCACGGGCTGCGTTATTGACAAAGGAGATGCTAGGCTCAATGCTAAAGCGAGGCTTAATGCTAGCGATTCACTCAGGCGCTTTACCTACGTCACAGTAAACTCAGATCCAATGGTTTCAATCTGCAAAAGGAGTTAGCCCCTCCCACCTGTTAACGGAGTCAAAGGAGCCAATCCAGACCTTAGAACCAAATGAGATGAGTACAATGGTGTGGTAAGACCAAACTAGGTCAGGACAACTGAAGCTAACTGAAGCTAACTGAAGCTAACTGAAGTTTATCCTAATTCAGATAAACTGAAGGAGGATTTATCTATTGTGCACGATTTTAGACCCTGTTCTGACCAGGATTTGAACCGTAGACCTTTTTGCTCTGAAGTGAGAGTGCTAACCACTCAGCCGTGTGTTTGGAGGTGTCGGAGAGGCTCGTTCAGGACATTGATGTGAAGCTGATGATCGGGAAACGCTCTGAGATCTTTTGAAATGCTAATCGCACGAGTCGATGCAGCAGCAGTGAAGGGTGCGTCCACTGCCGGATAGATCAGTGGTCCCCAACCTTTTTTGCCCTGGCAGCTACCATTAAATGTATAACAATAATCATAACAATAATGATGCATCAGTTTTATGCAGCGCCTTTCAGGACACTCAGACGCTTCACATGTCAGTATTCTGTTACTCCATACACGGTGGTGATAAACTACTACTGTAGCCACAGCTGCCCTGGGGCACACTGACAACGAGGCAACCAATATGTGTCATCAGCCCCTCCCACCTCCACCAACCAGACTCATTCTGGGCAATGTGGGTGAAATGTCTTGCCTTAGGACACAACCACAGTTCGGCATTTTACAGCTCCAGACGCCCCACTGTGTCCCAGAGGTCTTCCATCGGTACTACCCAGGCCCCGTCCTGCTTAGCTTCAGCGATCTGATGGGATCTGGTTTTCACATACGAGTTTGGCCACTATACCACAAATCTGTCACATTTTTACACGCTGGTGTACTACTTTTTAACTGTTCTAAAAAGGCCTCTTCGGATTTTTCATGTATTAGTAAAGTAGAATGGTGGCTGAGTGGTTAGCACGCTCGCTTTTTAGCAAGAAGGACCTGGGTTTGAATCCCGGTCGGAACAGGGTCTTTCTGAGTGGAGTTTGCATGTTCTCCCCGTGTCTGCGTAGGTTTCCTCCGGGTGCTCCGACCACTGTTCCTGACGGAAGCCTTAGTGACATCAGGATGGGTCAATTGTAGAGGATGAATTGCCCTACGGAAGTGCCCTATGGGAGTGCCCTATGGGAGTGCCCTATGAGTGCCCTACAGGAGCGCCCTACGGGAGTGCCCTATGGGAGTGCCCTACAGGAGTGCCCTATGGGAGTGCCCTACGGGAGTGTCCCTATGGGAGTGCCCTACGGGAGTGTCCTATGAGTGCCCTACAGGAGTGCCCTATGGGAGTGTCCCTATGTGAGTGCCCTATGGGAGTGCCCTATGGGAGTGTCCCTATGGGAGTGTCCCTATGGGAGTGTCCCTATGGGAGTGCCCTATGTGAGTGCCCTATGGGAGTGCCCTATGGGAGTGTCCCTATGGGAGTGTCCCTATGGGAGTGTCCCTATGGGAGTGCCCTATGGGAGTGCCCTATGTGAGTGCCCTATGGGAGTGCCCTATGGGGAGTGCCCTACGGGAGTGTCCCTATGGGAGTGCCCTACGGGAGTGCCCTATGAGTGCCCTACAGGAGTGCCCTATGGGAGTGTCCCTATGTGAGTGCCCTATGGGAGTGCCCTATGGGAGTGTCCCTATGGGAGTGTCCCTATGGGAGTGTCCCTATGGGAGTGCCCTATGTGAGTGCCCTATGGGAGTGCCCTATGGGAGTGTCCCTATGGGAGTGCCCTATGTGAGTGCCCTATGGGAGTGCCCTATGGGAGTGTCCCTATGGGAGTGTCCCTATGGGAGTGTCCCTATGGGAGTGCCCTATGTGAGTGCCCTATGGGAGTGCCCTATGGGAGTGTCCCTATGGGAGTGTCCCTATGGGAGTGTCCCTATGGGAGTGCCCTATGGGAGTGCCCTATGGGAGTGCCCTATGGGAGTGCCCTATGGGAGTGCCCTACGGGAATGCCCTATGGGAATGCCCTATGGGAGTGCCCTATGGGAGTGTCCTACGGGAGTGAATAAAATGCCCCTTTTTCGAGCCAAGTGGGGCTGGTGGAAACAGGGCTTTTGGTCCTCCTCATCATCCACTGTTTTTCTTTAATGATTTTTTAAAAGCTGTAAAAACTAAAGTAGAGTTAAAATCACCAGCACCTCCATTCAAAATATCTAGTGTTTCTCTCTGTGCAACACTGCCACCTGCTGGTGACTCTGCACCAGTGACAGGACGAGTCTGTTTAGAATTACACTAAACTAATGAAAATAAATACATTATTTTAGACTCACATTATCGAACGTGTGTCTTTGTGTGTGTCTACCTCTGTGTGTGTGTGTCTGTGTGTGTGTCTCTGTGTGTGTGTCTACCCCTGTGTGTGTGTGTGTCTCTGTGCCTCTGTGCGTGTGTGTGTGTCTACCCCTGTGTGTGTGTGTCTCTGTGCCTCTGTGCGTGTGTGTGTCTCTGTGTGTTTGTCTACCTCTGTGTGTGTGTGTGTCTCATAACCATGCCCCCTCTCACATGTCTCCATTATCTCCTTAACGCCTGAGTCTTTATCTCCAAACAGTTTAACAATAAAATCAGTAAACAATTAATTACATTTTTAAGTTTAAAAAAAGAAGATTTCAATTCAATAATATGAACTTTTTAGACGTTTTCCTGCAAACGAACTGCTGCGTCTAACAGATGAACACCTGTTTGTGTGCAGGGCCCTGACGCTGTGTGGCTCCGGGGGCCCGCCTCACGTGAAGCTGGTGGTGGAGTGGGAGCCGCGCCTCAAAGACTGGTAACAACGACATCTTTAGCACTTTCATCACGTAGCACTTTGAACATCAGCTCCGGACACTGTGGAATGTGTGTGCGTTGAATCCACCTGCTTTATGTGTCTGCTTTAAATAAAAAAACAGAAACAAGTAATGACATCTTTGTGGTGTTGCGCTGCACAGAGAAATGACACTGGATTATGAAGCAGAAAACAAATCCGCAGATTATTTTCATTTCTTGTCCCCTCCCTCCCATGGGATCAATCAATCAATCAATTTTATTTATAGAGCCCTTTACAACACTCAAGGCGACCAAAGTGCTTCACAATAAAATTAAATAAAATCCATTAAAACAGTTTAAAAACATTGAAAAAGTGTCACCTGCTAACGAGTTATAAAAGTGTTAAAAGCCAGTCTGAAAAATACGTTTTGAGCCTGGACTTAAAAAGGCCAGAATCAGTGAGGACATGTCAGGGGGCAGCTCGGTCCAGAGTCTGGGTCCAGGACTGAGAAGGGCCGGTCTCCTCAGGGTTTAGACCTAGTCCTAGGTACTTCCAGGAGGAGTTGAGATGATGACCTCAATGATCTGCCTAGATAGATTAACAACCACACACAACCACACACAGCCACACACAACCACACACAACCACACACAGCCACACACAACCACACACAGCCACACACAACCACACACAACCACACACAGCCACACACAACCACACACAGCCACATACAACCACACACAACCACACACAACCACATACAACCACACACAACCACACACAACCACACACAGCCACACACAGCCACACACAACCACACACAGCCACACACAACCACACACAACCACACACAGCCACACACAACCACACACAGCCACATACAACCACACACAACCACACACAACCACATACAACCACACACAACCACACACAACCACACACAACCACACACAGCCACACACAACCACACACAGCCACACACAACCACACACAACCACACACAACCACACACAACCACACACAGCCACATACAACCACACACAACCACACACAACCACATACAACCACACACAACCACACACAACCTCACACAACCACACACAACCCCACACAACCACATACAACCACACACAACCACATACAACCACACACAACCACACACAACCACACACAACCACACACAGCCACACACAACCACACACAGCCACACACAACCACACACAACCACACACAGCCACACACAACCACACACAGCCACATACAACCACACACAACCACACACAACCACATACAACCACACACAACCACACACAACCACACACAACCACACACAGCCACACACAACCACACACAGCCACACACAACCACACACACAACCACACACAACCACACACAACCACACACAGCCACATACAACCACACACAACCACACACAACCACATACAACCACACACAACCACACACAACCGCACACAACCACACACAACCCCACACAACCACATACAACCACACACAACCACACACAGCCACACACAACCACACACAGCCACATACAACCACACACAACCACACACAACCACACACAGCCACACACAACCACACACAACCACACACAACCACACACAACCACACACAACCACACACAACCACACACAGCCACACACAACCACACACAACCACACACAACCACACACAACCACACACAACCACACACAACCACACACAACCACACACAGCCACATACAACCACACACAACCACACACAACCACACACAACCACACACAGCCACACACAACCACACACAACTACACACAACCACACACAACCACACACAGCCACATACAACCACACACAACCACACACAACCACACACAACCACACACAACCACACACAGCCACATACAACCACACACAACCACACACAACCACATACAACCACACACAGCCACACACAACCACACACAGCCACATACAACCACACACAACCACACACAACCACACACAGCCACACACAACCACACACAACCACACACAGCCACACACAACCACACACAACCACACACAACCACACACAACCACACACAGCCACACACAACCACACACAGCCACATACAACCACACACAACCACACACAACCACACACAACCACACACAGCCACATACAACCACACACAACCACACACAACCACACACAGCCACATACAACCACACACAACCACACACAACCACATACAACCACATACAACCACATACAACCACACACAACCACACACAATCACACACAACCACGCACAACCACACACAGCCACATACAACCACACACAACCACACACAACCACACACAGCCACACACAACCACACACAACCACGCACAACCACACACAGCCACATACAACCACACACAACCACACACAACCACACACAGCCACACACAACCACACACAACCACACACAACCCCTCTACCCCCATTGTCCAGGTATCGATGGTATTTCATGACTCTTATACTTCATATACTTCATATACTTCATATACACAGTCTTATCTACAGACAATACTAAAAATACAGAATCTGATTTCATTTAAACACAGGTGTGGTGTATGTAATCAAAATACATCATGTCCAGTGTATTTTTAATTAAACTTTAAAATGTTGTTCAGAAAAGGTCAGATAAATTTAATTCAAATCCTCGAGGCCCTTTGTTATTTTCCAACAAATCTTACTGTTAGTTCTGCCAAAGGGGAGGGACTATGTGTCTTATTATGGTTAAAAAAATATTTAAAGGCTCCTCATGTGGCTCTGGTTCCATTCCCTATCTGTATCTATAGGGCAATCTTACCAAAGGAAACATTCTCTGCTGCTCGCTAACTTGACCTGTGTGTTGTGTGTTGTGTGTTGTGTGTTGCGTGTTGCGTGTTGCGTGTTGTGTGTTGTGTGTTGCGTGTTGCGTGTTGCGTGTTGCAGTCTGTTTGGGAACATCCACGAGGAGGTGGTGAAGGAGGCCGACAGTGTGAGGGACCAGGAGCAGCAGGAGCAGCAGGAGCACAGCGCAACCCTGGACCAGTGCTTCCAACTGTACACCAAGGAGGAGCAGGTACACACATGCACAGAGACACACACACACATACACACACAGACATACACACATACGCAGAGGCACACACACACACACACTGAGAAAAACCCAGAGACACACACACACACACACACACACACAGACATACACACATACGCAGAGGCACATACACACACACACTGAGAAAAACCCAGAGACAGACACACACACACACACACAGACATACACACATACGCAGAGGCACACACACACACACACTGAGAAAAACCCAGAGACACACACACACACACACACACACACACACACACACACACACACACACACACACACACACACACACACACACACACACACACAGACATACACACATACGCAGAGGCACACACACACACACACACTGAGAAAAGCCCAGACACACACACATCCACGTCACTGTCTCAGATGTTCTTTGGTGTGAGACTTCTCTGAACGTGACGTCAGTTCGATGCAGTGTCCAGCAGAGGGCGCCACTGCTCCACACTTCAGACCAGAGGTTTCATTGAGCCGCACGTGTGTCTTTTGGCTCGTTGTAAGGTTTGTTTTTCATGGCCATCATCAATAATTTGTGGTCAGGGCTGATTAAGTAAAGGTGAAAGTTGTTTTTTATAAATGTTGAACAGTACAACACACTGTCTTTATCATCATAGGACTGAGGCTGTAGACCCAGGACTGAGGCTGTAGATCCAGGACTGAGGCTGTAGACCCAGGACTGAGGCTGTAGACCCAGGACTGAGGCTGTAGACCCAGGACTGAGGCTGTAGACCCAGGACTGAGGCTGTAGACCCAGGACTGAGGCTGTAGACCCAGGACTGAGGCTGTAGACCCAGGACTGAGGCTGTAGACCCAGGACTGAGGCTGTAGACCCAGGACTGAGGCTGTAGACCCAGGACTGAGACCAGAGAGAGACCAGAGAGAGACCAGAGAGAGAGACCAGAGAGAGACCAGAGAGAGAGACCAGAGAGAGACCAGAGAGAGACCAGAGAGAGACCAGAGAGAGAGACCAGAGAGAGACCAGAGAGAGACCAGAGAGAGACCAGAGAGAGAGACCAGAGAGAGAGACCAGAGATAGACACCAGAGAGAGACCAGAGAGAGACCAGAGAGAGACCAGAGAGAGAGACCAGAGAGAGACCAGAGAGAGAGACCAGAGATAGACACCAGAGAGAGACCAGAGAGAGAGAGACCAGAGAGAGACCAGAGGGAGACCAGAGAGAGAGACCAGAGAGAGAGACGAGAGAGACCAGAGAGAGAGACCAGAGAGAGACCAGAGAGAGAGACGAGAGAGAGACCAGAGAGAGAGACCAGAGAGAGACCAGAGAGAGAGACGAGAGAGACCAGAGAGATATTTTCTCTCTTTGGAAATAGCTTTATTAAATGGCTTCACAAATCCTCAAACCATGAGGGAAAATACAGTTATCATTAATCATATCCGACATTTTTATTTTGTGTTTTAGTTTAAAAAGTAGTTTTCAGAAGTTTGGAATTCCTGCGGCTCAGTTTTGGCAAAGATTTTCTACTGCATTATTAATTTTAAAACAAACCTTGTGTTTTGATCACTTTCTGCACTCGGCCACAGGTGTCATTGTTCATGTTTCTGAGATTAATAATAATAATAATAATAATAACTTTTTCTCGCTCGTCTGCAGCGGTTGTTTGGAGCTTTTTATATCAACTGTGTTTTCTTTTTTCACTTGATCACATCACTGATCCCGTCGGTATCATCATGATCCCCTCGGTATCATCACGATCCCCTCTGAATCCACAGACAAACATTAGGATTTGGTGTAGCCAAAAACACAAAGTAAATATATACAATAACAACTGGGGAAGCGTTTAAATGTGCAGAAGAGAGAGAGAGAGAGAGAGAGAGAGAGAGAGAGAGAGAGAGAGAGGAGAGAGAGGGAGAGGAGAGAGAGAAAGAGGAGAGAGAGGGAGAGGAGAGAGAGAGAGAGGAGAGGAGAGAGGGAGAGAGGAGAGAGAGAGAGGGCGAAGAGAGAGGGAGAGAGAGAGAGGGGGGGAGAGAGAGAAGTGACAGGAGCGGGAGGAGAAAGTGGAGAGAGAGAGAGAAGAGAGAGAGAGAGGAGAGAGAGAGAGAGAGAGAGAGAGAGGAGAGAGAGAGAGAGGAGAGAGAGAGAGAGAGGAGAGAGAGGGAGGAGAGAAAGGAGAGAGAGAGAGGAGAGAGAGAGAGAGGAGAGAGGAGAGAGAGAGAGAGAGGAGAGAGAGAGAGAGAGAGAGAGAGAGAGAGGGAGGAGAGAAAGGAGAGAGAGAGAGGAGAGAGAGTGGGGGGAGAGAGAGGAGCGGGAGGAGAAAGAGGAGAGAGAAGAGAGAGAGGAGAGAGAGGGAGGAGAGAAAGGAGAGAGAGAGGAGAGAGAGAGGAGAGAGAGAGGGAGGAGAGAAAGGGTAGAGGAGAGGAGAGAGAGAACAGAAAAATACCACAGACCACGGAGATATACCAGAGAGTAAGAGTGAGAGAGAGAACAGAAAAAGAGAGAGAACAAAGAGATTTTGGCTAAAATGAATCAGTTTCTGTTCTTTCTGGAACGTTCCACATAAACACAGATGAAAACAGTCGGGGTAAAGATGTTCTGTTTGATGAGTCTCCGCCTCCTCCTGTGATGTCGCATTACTGCTGACAGTGAAAGCTCTCGTTTGTTTGTGTTGTGGATAAATATACGTCTTCTGCCTGATCAGAGCTGTCCACCCGCTGCAGAGTCCGCATCAGCTCACAGAGAGGATGTTATTCTGAATCCAGCATTGCATCCAGCGACAGGGACCGGCCTCCTGCTGGGACTCTGAGGAGCACAGGGACTGGCCTCCTGCTGGGACTCTGAGGAGCACAGGGACTGGCCTCCTGCTGGGACTCTGAGGAGCACAGGGACTGGCCTCCTGCTGGGACTCTGAGGAGCACAGGGACCGGCCTCCTGCTGGGACTCTGAGGAGCACAGGGACCGGCCTCCTGCTGGGACTCTGAGGAGCACAGGGACTGGCCTCCTGCTGGGACTCTGAGGAGCACAGGGACGGGCCTCCTGCTGGGACTCTGAGGAGCACAGGGACTGGCCTCCTGCTGGGACTCTGAGGAGCACAGGGACCGGCCTCCTGCTGGGACTCTGAGGAGCACAGGGACTGGCCTCCTGCTGAGACTCTGAGGAGCACAGGGACCGGCCTCCTGCTGGGACTGGAGCACAGGGACTGGTCTCCTGGTGTGTGTGTGAGTGGTTTCTTGGTGGTGGGAGGGGTCGATGGCACAGACTGGTTGCCTCGCTTCTGGCAGAGTGCCCCAGGGCAGCTGTGGTTTATAATCGTAGGGAGTGAATAATGACATGTGAGGCGTCTGTGAGTGTCCAAAAAGATCTGTATAAAACCCATGCATTAAAAGTATTATTATTATTAGTATTATTATTATTATTATTATTATTATTATTAATCAAACGCACCGGTGGCTGAGTGGTTAGCAGACAGATGCAGACAGATGCAGACAGATGCAGACAGATGTAGACAGATGCAGACAGATGCAGACGGATGCAGACGGATGCAGACGGATGCAGACGGATGCAGACGGATGCAGACGGATGCAGACGGATGCAGACGGATGCAGACGGATGCAGACGGATGCAGACGGATGCAGACGGATGCAGACGGATGCAGACGGATGCAGACAGATGTAGACAGATGCAGACAGATGCAGACAGATGCAGACAGATGCAGACAGATGCAGACAGATGCAGACAGATGCAGACAGATGTAGACAGATGCAGGCAGATGCAGACAGATGCAGACAGATGCAGGCAGATGCAGACAGATGCAGACAGATGCAGACAGATGCAGACAGATGCAGACAGATGCAGACAGATGCAGACAGATGCAGGCAGATGCAGACAGATGCAGACAGATGCAGACAGATGCAGACAGATGCAGACAGATGCAGACTGATGCAGACAGATGCAGACAGATGCAGACAGATGCAGACAGATGCAGACTGATGCAGACAGATGCAGACAGATGCAGACAGATGCAGACAGATGCAGACAGATGCAGACTGATGCAGGCAGATGCAGACAGATGCAGGCAGATGCAGACGGATGCAGACGGATGCAGACGGATGCAGACGGATGCAGACGGATGCAGACGGATGCAGACGG